TTCAGTTTGCCTTTTCGCTACCACCAGCCACAATACGCGACGTTCCCGGCCGAGGACGCCGAGATCTCGGTCGCCGAGGCCTTTGACTCGGCCTACTGCAGCGTCATGGTCGACCACTACTGCGTGGCTGGCAGCCTCGGCGACGCCATTAGCATGTTCTCGCTCTCGTCGTCGCCCGTGCTCTCGTCCATTGTCTCGGCCTTCAACCTCAACGCCAACGACCAGATCGGCCTCAAGGGTGCGTGCCAGAACATCAATGCGACGGCATCGAGCGCGCTCGTCGGCCTCGACATGAAGAAGCTCCAGACGGTCTGCGCAGCGTGCCAGACGTCGACGCACATTGATTTCTCGGACCTCTATGGCTGGTGGTGGTCGACTCAAAGCCAATTGAAAACTGAGCGAAAATGGACGATGTAAGGTGCTGCTAGCATTTCGCGTGTCGACTTGCAGGGGTTGTGGACGACGTTGTGTGGGCGACGATTGTCTTGTGTGTAGTATCTGAACACACGTGCCCACAAAGCTGAGGATTTCTACTTGCTGAACCACACAGTCACACAATCAAGATCCGTCATCATCGCAAACTTCGATCGTATTCCATGAGCTGTTCCATGGCGTCGTGTCTCGCGAAATGGCCGCGACAAGGCGCGGCAGAGCCGGCGACGCAGCCACAAGTCGCCGCGCGCGTCATGGGTCGGCTAGTTCGGTGGTGGCGCACGGGAAAGGGACTTGCAACCGCTGGTTTTATGTCCATGTCCATATCGACTGGCACCCTCGATGTGTAGATTCGAGGCAACGAGCAGCCACCTGTCGAGTGGGTGCAAGGGCCGTCGACGTGGGTGGATGGTTTCTCGAAGAACGTCATGACGGTGCATGTTTGTGTGCTGCCTTGCTTTGCTGCTGGGCCAGGCGGACTTCGTTGGTGCAGCGAAGCCAGGATACTACCAAGAGCGCGGTGGTTCTATCTACCACATGACGTGCTCTCGTACTCGCACAATGCAAGCAAACAACATCTGTTTGACGTTGTTGCTTGTGCGGCACACGCACCGCATATTGTGAGTCCCAGTGTGTCTATAGAAACGTAGTGCGCAACACCGTTTACGGGCTAAGCTCTTGGTGGTCGGCATCGTGTACAGCATTATCAAGCGACTTGAATGGTTTCAAGCCAGCTTCTTGCA